AGCTCACTCTGCTACGCAAAGGCTGGGCTCGAACCGCTGAAGTGTCGACCATTTCTGGCCGGTAACTTTCAGCGTCATTAAGCCGCTGCGCCACTGCGTCCCCCCGATGAATTATACCTACTGAGAAATAAAATCTCCAGCTACCAATAAGCAACCCCCCCCCCAAAACAAACGGTGAAAGAAGGCATTATGGAATGCCATCGGAAATAGTTTGTTCTTCAGCCAGTGCCATCTTTCCTGTGTCCACTCATATCACTCACTGCCAACTCAAGTGAGACTGTCAGGTGTCACCATTTTCCCCATCCCTAAATGCTACAGGCTTCTGCCCCACGCTTTCTTCCCAGGCAAAGCCTTGGCGAAAACCCAAATCTTACACCCAAAGTCCCAGTGAGTGCACCAGACACACAATTTATTTTATAAATTAAATGAAGGAGCCTTCTCCACTGAAGAAACTCTTCATCTAGGATCACAGAATACTGCTCTTTATCCACCCCAACCTTCCACAGAAACAGCCTGCTTCCTCAGTCAAGAGTCTCCATTAACCTTCCAAATTGCACCTAAAAATTGCCTAGCATCCAGAGGTCCCTTACCTTCACTGAAAACAAAATCAGAGCTGATGTCAAAGGGCTGGAGGCGGACCTCTGACAGCAAGAGAATGACTGATTTTTGGTGGTCGCTGGAGCTTAAGGTGATTGTCTGCTGAGCTTGACATTCATAAGACTTCCCAGCTGGGGTGACTAAAGCAGAGAGATGACGCGTTGTGACCGTGTGCTTCCCAGCTGTCAAGAGGAAAATGTTATCATTGGATGAGTACCATACCTTTTTTCTCCTAGGCCAAAAGACTAATTCAGCGTGCCATGGCCAACCATATGTCTTTTTAATTTACTCTATAAGTATTTTCTACACATTCTATATTAATTAATAGGAAAAATATGTATTTGTGATAGTGTTAACAAGAACATCAACATTAAAAAGACTTTGGAAAATTTCTAAAGAAAACAAGGAATTTGATCAAATTGCTCAAGAGTCCTCTTTCTTTGTTAAGGGGCAAAAAGTTAAATTTGAATATTGACAATGAACATCAACAATGTCTGTCTGTCGGTAAATGTACATTTTGTATGTGTGTATGTTTTTACTCCTTTTTTGCTTTTTTTCTTCTTTTATAATTTTGTGAATTCTTTTATATATATATTTAGTCAATAAAAATATGAAGAAAAGTCCACTGTTACAAATCAGATACAGATTGACATTAAGAACTCTCCCAGTGTTCTGTGTTTGGAAGAAAGAGAAATAGCTTTTCTAGTATATTTAGAGATTTAACATGTGTTCTTACAAATTAGGCTATAATTCTAATAGACAGATATTAGAAGGAGCTGAGTAGCAAGAGAGAGCTGAACAATATGCAGATGAATGGGCACATATTCTCTCATACATGTAAGAAAATATTCATGCTGGTTGTACACAATTAGAAGCATAGAACATTAACTTCTGCTTTCATGACATTCCTCCAGTCCTTGTATTCAGAACCACACAGCATAATGTGATCACAATCACTGGATGCATAAGCAAAAGATGCTTTATTTCCCATTAGGATCCTAAAATGATGCTCACAGTTCAACACCTAATGGCTTATGCTGATGACAGCAGCTATGACGATCCTACAAGGAATAGCAAGTCCTGAATAGAAATTCAGCATTACCGCAGTGCTGTTATTAGCTTTTTATGACTAGATCCATCTTGACAAAACCCACGCGTTTGAGGATAGCATTCCCAGGAATCACACTCCATCATTCATGTACAGTCACATGTAGCCCTCTCAGGGCTACATCACAAATTGGTCCTGGGTGGTTGAATGAAGCAAAGCAGCTCCAGAAGCACTGCTGATGGGGCAGAATTGGACCTTAAAGAGCCAGATGGCATGTCCTATTGGATGATCTCTGGACACTGCTGACCACAATTCCCACAAAACACAACCGGTCAGAGGTATATGCTTGTGGGGATGATTGGAATTGTAGACTGATTCATCAGAAGGGGAAACACTTGTGAAAGTCTGTGCTGTCCAATGACCCTTTCACAAAACCTGTCAGCTTCACAAATTATAGGAAAAATTGACAGAGTGGATAAATAAGCACAATGTAAACATCTGAAACTGAAAATGGTTGTAAATCTTTAAAATATAAACAACCTACACGATGATGAAAAGAAACACAGAAATCTTAACAAATAAAGTTAGAATTCAGAAAGAGTAGAAATATTTATTCTACTTACGTTAAACTGGACTGCAACAGTACAACCACTCATCTAACAGTAAACCCAGTTCATTCAAGCAAGATTTATTTTGGAATAAAATTACACTGAATGGCTTAGAATAGAATAGAATTACACTGAATGGCTTAAATAATCCTGATTTTAAAAAGATATATCCAGCCTGGCTAAACTATGTATTCACATATAATGACTATTGGATTATATGTGAAAGAGCTGGTGCATTTCAACCCACTCTGAAAAGGCACCATAGTATTTTTATATGTTATTGTAATGTAAAATAGACTTTTCCTCCTAATTTATACTTAGAAAGAAATAGGCAAAGGTTTAAATGATCCAAATTGTTCAGGAACAGATAAAATACAGATGGATGGGTCTTGGGCATGCTTCAATGCAGCAACAAGGAAAAAGATCACGTCCCAGAACATTCTGCACTGCAGAGGTGCCCCGTGACAAACACAAGCACCAAGAGGATGCCCATAAGAAAGAAACGCAAAGAAATTCAATAGAAACACTGCCCATTAATAGAAGCCACACAACTGGGGAGAAGGTGGGCATATTTTAGAGCACAGTAATTGCATTCAAGATGTGCAGTATCTACTAATCATTCCCAATGCTGGATTGCTTGAGTTTTCCAAAATAAAAAACAAAAAATTAAATACCAACTTCAAAATCCAAGTAAAGGCTACCATAAAATAAAATCAAGTTCTCCAAGGTCCCGTCCAACCCCGTGATTCTATGATTCTTCTAACTGCCCTTCGGGGATTACATGAAACTCCATTCTGTAACTGTCTAAACCCAACATCTGCACTGTTTGTGCCGGGCCCAGGATTAGAAAACAAAATGCTTCCATCACTGCAAATGGGGTTTTGCAATACTCAAGAAATAATTTATAGTTGCCATCCCTAAACTAGCAATGTTACATCATTTGGGTGAAGAGTCTTTTGGCCTTGGTTAAATAATCCTTGTCCAGGGATGATTTTTTAGACTCTGATTTAGTCTTCATTTATTTGCCTAACAATGATTAAACATGAAAAAATGAAAAAGGTAGTCCTTTCCCCCCTTAAGAATGGAGTGATTTCCTAATATTTTAATTAATTGATTGCTTCTATCTTCGTATGACAAAAGGACAATCGCATGACACTGTTTAACGGAAGTAAGTCCGATCTGCTTCATTTTAAGCTAAGCACGACTACTAGTGTGGGAGCTTTTTTGCTAGGCCAGACCTCAGTTTGTTCAAATGCACCAAACTGCGGGGGGCCTGGGAGCGTACGGTATGGCTGGCCTACAGCAGGGACGCCCTTCTTTTCCCCGCTCAAGGCAATCCGCGGGCTCTTGGAACCGACCGGCGGCTTCGGACGAGCCCAAAGGCCGGGCAGGCGCTGCAGGCGGGACAGCC